AAAAAAAAAAAAAAAAAAAAAAAGTGGAACTGCCTTATGACCCAGCAATTCCATTTATGGGAATATATCTGAAGAAACCCAAGACACTGGTTCAAAAGACTACACGCACCCCTATGTTCATTGCAGCATTATTTACAATAGCCCAGGTTTGTAAACAGCCCAGGTGCCCATCAGTAGATAAGTGAATTAAAAAGCTGGGGGACATTCACACAATGGAACTCTACTCAGCTGTACAAAGGAAGGAAATCTTAACTTTTGTGACAGCATGGAGGGACCTGGAAAGTATTATGCTCAGTGAAATAAGCCAGTCAGAGAAAGACAAGTATCATATGATTTCACTTACACTGTATGTGGAATCCAATGAACAAAATAAACTATCAAACAAAGTAGAAACAGACATACAGACACAGAAAACAGACTGACAGCTGTTAGAGCGGAGAGCGTTGGGGGAGGGCTGGGTAAAAAAGATAAAGGGATTAAGCAAAAAAGAAAAAACAACTCATAGACACAGATAATGGTGTGGTGATTACCAGAGAGAAATGGGGGCCGGGGAGGTAGAAGAGGGTTAAGGGGGTAAAAGGAGACTTGACTTGGGGTGGGGAACACACAATACAATATATAGATGATGTGTTATAGACTGTACACCTGACACCTATGTAATTTTATTAACCAATGTCACCCTAATAAATTCAATAGAAATTTAAAAAATGAGTAGAGTGACAATGTTTGGGTTTTGTGTTGTAAAGATACTTTTTAAATCTTTAACAAGCTAACCCTCACTCCTATCTGCAAAAAATAAATGAAAAAAAGAAAGGAAGAAACATGAAAGAGAGAGAGAGAGAGAGAGAGAGGGAGAGAGAGAGAGAGAGAAAGAAAGAAAGAAAGAAAGAAAGAAAGAAAGAAAGAAAGAAAGAAAGAAAGAAAGAAAGAAAGAAAGAAAGAAAGAAAGAAAGAAAAAAGTGGGTGAATGTGTCTCATGATTGCCTGCTGGGAACAGTCCCTGCTTTTAAGGAGCCCCCAGGCCAGTGGAGACTGAGGCAAGAGATAATGAAAAGACAACAGGAGAGTGTTCAGGAGTAAATTTACACATGGGGGTCCATGGCACACAAAGAAAGGGTCGAGCCCAGGTCGGGCTTCCATTCAGGTCATTTCCCGTCATTCTCTTGACAGCCCTAAAGGCACTATGATCGCTGCAGGAAGTAGGAGCACTGGCCCTGGGTTCAGTTCCACCAGCGTGGGGCATGAATATGAACTGGAAACCACTCTCTGAAGGCTCACGGGCTCACACGGGATACTACTGTCAACACCTGTCTGAAAATGGTCATCACGCATGACCCAGTTTACAGTTACCTTCTCATCTGTGTGTCTTGTGTTCCAGGGTGAACTGTGGGACTCTGCTCTCTANTTACAGTTACCTTCTCATCTGTGTGTCTTGTGTTCCAGGGTGAACTGTGGGACACTGCTCTCTACTGCTCTGTAACCCACACAAGTGCTGAGTGCCAGTCTTGGGCATGGAGAACTTGCCACGCGCTGTTACATGCTGATCTTCTTAGTAACTGACAAAANACTGCTCTGTAACCCACACAAGTGCTGAGTGCCAGTCTTGGGCATGGAGACCAACTTGCCACGCGCTGTTACATGCCGATCTCCTTAGTAACTGACAAACGGAGTGAAATACCACCCNCTTAGTAACTGACAAAAGGAGTGAAATACCACCCCGGGGGTGGGATGGCCTCTTTACGGGCAGTGGTTAAGGCCGAGACTTAGGAGAAATCCTGTCTCCGGTTCTTTTGAGTCAATGAGCAGGTAGGACAGCTGCCTACCCAGGAGTGTGGTGTGGTCGCGGCNGAGCAGGTAGGACAGCTGCCTACCCAGGAGTGTGGTGCGGTGGCGGCCACAAGGCCTTTCTGGCCTTGCTCAGCATTCCTCAGGCCCACACCAAAGTCTGATTCCAGGTACCAGAGCAGANCGCGGCCACAAGGCCTTTCTGGCCTTGCTCAGCATTCCTCAGGCCCACACCAAAGCCTGATTCCAGGTACCAGAGCNATTCCTCAGGCCCACACCAAAGTCTGATTCCAGGTACCAGAGCAGAAGGAGAAGACAAAAACGGAAACATGTTCTGCGATGAGCTACTTAAAGGGTGGTTTAAGGGACTGAAAAATCAGCCTGGTGGAAAAAAGATGAAAGGAGCCAAGATCGCTTCTGAAGGCTAAAAGTTGACTTTACAAGGATCTTGAGGGACATTACGCACTGTTATACAGAGGGCAGTGGCCAGCTAAAACTGTACTATGGGAAGTGAGCATGGGGTAGGGTATAAAACCAGAAGATTCGGCTTGGATAGAATGGACCCGGGTTTTAACTCTGGCTCCATCACCTCCTCTCTGCGTGATGTTAAATTATTCAACCTTAGTTTCACAATGTGAAGAGCCAGTGAGATCCTTCTGCCCTAGAATGTGCACATTGAAGTGACTCAACAGGATTGGTGCTCACTAGGAAGGATGACCCACAGAAATAATTGCCGAACACTACAATGGGGTCACTGAAATAGGTTTGGGGACTTCTTCCTTCGGGATAAATTCTGGACTGAATATATATTATTGTAGTCTTCCTGAAAAGTGATATTTTATTTAACATATTTATTTTCTAAGTTTGCAATCCTAATGCCTGTCAATAAAATACAAAAACAATCTTCTGTGTTGATCAGAGTACAACGAAGTTTATGTTACTGGAGTCCCACTGGCAAGTGTAATAAATTACAAATGTGTCAGGAAGAAAAGGAGTTAACATGTAATGAAATTTACTATGTGCCAGATACTATGGTAGGTAATTTCACATATTTTATCTAGTTTATTCCTTACAACAATTTTGTAAGGTTAGGTCTTTATATATTTTATAGGTGAACAAAATGAGGCTCAATAACCTTAAAGCTGAAAGAGCAAGAAAGTGGTGGGGCTGGGATTAAATTTTAGGACTTCTGACTATGCATTCACTTTCCACGTCATCAGAGGGAAATTAGATATCTTTTCATGCAAAAGAATATGAAGCCTTTTCAAAAATAAAGAAAATAACTGAACTTCCTTTTTTATTCTTTTTTAACTTTACTAAGGAAAAAAAAAATCCCACAGATTCTACTACTGGACCACAAATAGGACGATTTAGTGTAGTTTAAAGGCTATGGATTTGGAGCCCAAAGTCCTAGAATGTACACTGGTTCCTCCACATACTAGACTTGGTGACTGTTTCTTCCCTAATTCTTAGACTCTTTATCTACAAAACAGAAACAAAGTGAAATTACGGGTTATGAGCAAATGGGATCATGTTTAACAGATCACTTTGTAAACTCTGAAGTAACATGGAATCTGGAGTAACTGTTATCTTGTTCATGGTTAAAAGTTACCATTTTGTGAATCACAAACCTAAATGCAAAACTTAAAATGATAAAACTTCCAGAAGAAAACGTAGGAGAAACATATCTGGAACTTTGGTTTAGGCAAAGATTTCTTAAATACACCACCAAAAGCATGACCTGTAATAGAAATGTGAATAAATGGGACTACTTCAAAATGAAAAACGCTTGCTCTTTGAAAGACGTTGTTAAAAGAGAAAAAAAAGAAGCAATGGATTTGAATAAAATATTTGTAAAACACAAATCTTTGTCCAGAGTCTACAACAATACAATAATAGAGGGGAGGAACAATCCAATTAAAAATGGGAGTTTTCAACAATGCTTTGTCAAAGAAGATATATGGATATCAAGTAAGTCCCTGAAAATATCTGTATCATCAGTCATTCACTACACACTTACTGGAATAACTAAAACAACTCACAAAAAATGGACAGCATCAAATGTTGGTGTGGATGTGGAGCAACTGGAATTCTCACACACTGCTGGTGGTAACGCAGAACAGTTACAATCACTTTGGAAAACAAGCTGGAGGTTTCTTAGAACGTTAAACACTGATAAGATCTAACAACTCCACTCCTAAGTACTTACCCCAGAGAAATGAAAACCTACATTCACACAAAACCCATCTGCAAATATTATAGCCACTCAGATCATAATTGGTAAAACCTGGAAGCAGCCCAAATGTCATTCAACAGGTGAATGGATAAACAAACGGTGGTACATCCATGCAATGTGAAACTACTCAGCAATAAAAGGAGTGAACCACTCATGTGCAACAACATGGATGGCTCTCAAAGACAGTATTTTAATGGAAAGCAGCCAGACTCAAGGTGTTCCTGTTACAGGATTCCATTTATATGACATTCTGGAAATGGCATAACTTTATGGATAGAAAACAGATCCACAGTTCCCAGGACTTGGGATGGGAGAGGTTGACTACAAAGGGGCATGAGAGAACTTTGTAGGGGGTTGGAACTCTTCAACATCTTGATTGGGGTGGTGTGAACAATACTGTCCATTTGTCAAAAACCAGAGAACTCTACACCAGAAAGGATGAATTGTAATTTTTGTAAATTAGACCTCAATAAACCTAGCTCTAAAATAAGATATCATTTTCGACATATGCATATATTTCTTTTCTCTCTTAAAGGCTACACACAACAAAAAAAGTGGTTAAAATGGTTTTCTCTAGGGAGTGGAACTGGAGGATTGGGGGGGAGTAGAAGGAAGACTTAATTTTCACAGTATACCTTTTTTGTCATTTGATTTTTTACTAAATAAATGAATCAATTATTTAAAATAAATAAAAATATTAAAGATCGCTCTGCTGGGTTGCCTGTTCCTTTCTTAGTGCCTTTTCATTCACTGTAAGAGTTTAAGCACAGGGTCTATTGTCAGTCACCAGGGATGCTGATTAGGGTCCTTCTGCGTGAGGTGGAAGGCTTGCCTAATCTTCTCCACCCAACTCTAGAGTCTGACAATTCTAAATTTCATCAATTCTTCCTAAGAAGCAACTGTCCTTTCCTGTTCATCCTCATGTTTCTTAGGTCTTCAGTGGCGACTGACGTTTGGTTCATATACTTGTCCCTTCATTCCTGCACATCCTCTGCGGGACGGCCAGTATGAGTTTCCTCAGACAAAAATCACACCACTCCTCTGCTTATAAGCATCTGTTGCTCCCCTCTGCTTATGAATTCCTTAAGCTAGAACATAAGACCTCTTAGTACTTGACTCCAACCTGTCTTTCCATTTCATTTCCTTCTATTCACCTCCTGCCGGGCACAAAGCAAAAGTAAGCACCTCACAGTTTTCCAAATATGCGTCTTTCAACATTTTATACCTTACTACTGTATCTCTTCATTCGACAAAGCTTTATTTTATTATCCATTAGGTAAACTACTATCACACCTGAAGACTCAGCTTAAATATCAACTCCTTTGTGAAATCTTCTATGATTCTTCCACACAAAGCTACTGTTCAGTCCCATCTGCTCCAAGAATACTGGATTTATAGCACTGTTAGGTGATTTATCATAATGTATTTGAAGTTTTTAGTTTAAGGGTCATCTGATCTCCCAACTAGACGCTGAACTTCCTGAGGACATGGTGCAACCAAGGCTTATATATTTATTGTGTATCTAATAGAGTACCAGAAACATGAACAATTATTTCTTTCCTACATTTTCATGTAAAAGTGTGTGCATGCACGTGCTTGTACACACACAGACATATACACACATACACACATATGCACTCACACTCACACATACTCATCCACATTTCTTGAATGAAATGTGAATGAGTTCCAATGTTATACACATGGAAGTTAAGGAAAAAAGAGATCTATAGTGTGAGCCACCAGCTGGCAGCCCCAATCTCTTACCGTCCTGGAATGTGTCATTAATTGCAATAACAGCCTGGAAGGGCTTGGTTAGTTCGGCCCCTTGTGCTGAGCTGAGGAAAACCACAAATGTCTCCAGCCCTTCAATTGCTGGATACTGAGTGTCATCCAAGATCGTCAAGGTGCAATACTAGGAGAAAAATCAGGATGTTAACGAGATTTACTGTGGTGATTGTTTTGCAATGGAAGCAAATATTGAATCATGTTGTACACCTGAAACTAGTATAATGTTATATATCAATTATATCTCAAGCAAACCTTACAGAATGCGGAACACATAACACCCATCTGTTTTGGGAGATTAGGACACAGGCAACAACTTGCCTTTCCTTGGTGGTCTTAAGTAAAGTTTTGTTTTGTTTTTATCCATAAAATTATACTCTTTTAATTACATACCCTTAGGTGTTTTGTTTTTAGATATTTAGATCAAACAAGTGTGGTTTCTATCCTAAATCCGTGTGCTGGATATCAGATGCGGAAAATGTCAGTTGGAGAGTTTGTAGATGATCCCTGTAAGTTTGTTCTCTTGTTTTTATGTTTGTGTTGTTTAAGAAAGGGAAGATGGTAATATTGCAAGGGGAGTGTAGTGTCCTTCAGAGAGTTTGGAGAGCAGACTAGATGCAACATTAACAGACTCATGCAGCCTTTCACCAGTGTGTGCTCACCTGCTCAGTGACACCCGGCCCGAATTCCACCTTCCTAGAGCTGGGAACGTAGTCAACTCCAGGAGTGGCGGAAGCTGGGTCTGAGGGGCGGGTAGCACACCAGACTGATGTGAAGGTTGAAAGGTCGGTGCCATGGCGGATGACTGGGATCTTCACTGTGCCTGAAGCAAGATTCACAGAGAATTCCAAGGTCAACCTTGAGCCAGAAAATCAGTGGAGCTTTCAGAACTCTGCTCCACCTTGACAGCAGCAGTGATCCTGCTGGCCTGCCTGCTCCACTCTGAGATGCTCTGTGCTCCCTCTGAGGAAGACTGAGAGTATCGTCACCCTTCTTTTACTGACTCTGAGACAAAGAGCAGACCTGGAGGGGGATCTCATGCAGGCAGTGCTGGAGAGATAGCCCTTAGGGGCAAGTGGACTTGTGGCTTCACAAAGGAGACTGTTCACAGAAGAACAATGAATTTAAGGGGAGGGAAGATCCAGTGAAAAACATCTTGAGCCTATTTCAGGAGAAGCTCAGACTAGCACCTCAGGGATGAGCTAGAAAATAGTCAATTAAGGAAGAACCAGCTATGGGACTCTATGGGGCCTGAAGCTGAATGTTCCTAATTAAATGTTCCTAACTGGTTTGATTTCCCCATTTTATCTGAGTGGTGCACACATCATTACTTAAACCATATGTGCTTATTGCTTATCTTAGGAATGAAACTCATCTTCTGGTCCACTGTGAGATCACACTTCGAAGGGTCCTAATGATATACATGTAGATTTGTAGCTGTTTTCACAATGGAAGTCAGAGCAAAGCTACAAGAACACTCATCATTCACATTCTTCTAGTCAGTGTGTTGTGGAATGACAGGCAGTCATGGCTGTGCAGTGCTGTGTGGGAAAGGAAGCGGCATAGTACAAAGGTCTGGGTTCTAATCCCAGCTCAGGCATATTAACTGCTTGATCTTTGATGATTTATTTAACCTCTCTCAGTCTCCATTTGCTCTCCTCTCTAATGTTATCTTCTCTATAGAAGATTAAGTGAGAATGCATGAAATGCACATTGCACAGTACCTGCCATTCCATCAGTACTAAAAAAAAAAATCAGTTCCCACTGTCCCTCGGAATATCACCTTCCAAGAGGTGAAAGGCTTTGGTCCAGTGGCTCTGATCAGTAGGTACTCCTCATGGCTGCTGCCCCTTCTGGCAATAAGTCTGTGAGCAGCATGTGGGGGACGCTTGTGCCGCCAGGAGAGGGAAGGAGCCTGGGTAGAAGAGCCTGCCCACTGACTGCTTTGGGCTGGTATATGAATGAGGAAGTTCCATTTGGGAAGACACCGACATTTTAGAATGTGTTTGTTTTAGCAGCTAGAAGTATACTAAATCACTTGCCTCCTTTCTCAATAGATCACATTCCCCTCCTTTGCAAGCCAAATGCTTAGCACCAGGCCTTCCCTCTGGACCTCAGAGGTGAGCCAGTGAAGCTGTAAGCTGGATCCCTCCCTGCCATCAGTAACCACAGCAAGAAAGGTGATGAAAACTCCCTGCTCTTCATGAACTCCCAGGCGTGGCTGTAAAGCCTCGCATTGTATGATTTCTCGGACCAACAGTGGAGTCACTGAGGAACGGCATTCTCAATGTCTCAAGAACATTCTCAAACCTGAAGGAAATCATTCAAAGGGATCAAGACAGGGTGATGGGGCCCCAGGGGCGCTTTCCATTACCTGCGTCCTCGCTGACGGTGAAAGCCGTGTTGCCTAGGGACACAGTGGAGGCATCATTGGGACCACTGATGAGCACCTTGGCCAATGACACCCTTCCGATGCAGGCGTTGGCAGAAGCATCCACCAGGGCAATCTCAAACTCTTCTTCCTCTTCATACTCACTGTCATCGATGAGCATGATGTCACAGGTTGACATGGTGACACCAGGCCCGAATATCACACGGCTGTCAGCAGACATCCCTCTAGATTTAAAATCGGAGCCTGATTCTAGAGCATAGAGGCTACTTCCCATAGCTGACTTGGGGATGGTGTAGCAAATCACAGAAACAACGCTGCTCGAATCCCCTGAAAGACAGAACAGCAAGAAAACGAAGCACTGGAATGAGTATTCTCAAATTCTAAAATCTCTGGTAAGTTAGTGAGCTTGGTTCCCTCCGACATAGTGCAGCACTATTTGTGTTCAAACTCTGACGTGAAACCTCCCACACTGCAGTCTCTTTTGAGCTTATGAAATAAACAACTTGAGGATTTAATATCCCCCAGATACTTCACCAAACAACTTAAAATGGATTTCCTATTCTGCAAATTTTGTGCTCTGTTAATTCACAAGACTCACTGGCCACCATCTAAGACCACAGAGGGTGGAACGATAAGAGACATATTTGGTACTTTAAGGAGCAAAGTAATTGTGTCCTGAAGGTAGTGCTATGAGCACAGTTCACTACTTTTCCAAATAAAATTCAGCACTTTAAGTTCCAGGGAAAAACAAGCTTATTTAAAAAAAGAAAGACAAAACAAAATAAAACCCGCCTCTCTGTACAAATGACCTTACTTATTAGTGCTGCCACTGCCCTGACTGACAGCCTGTTCTGGGCCCCGCTTGCTGGCCCAGAGCCATCAGTGGGGCTTGCTTGCTTTCCAAGTGGCCACTCCGAGGGTCTGCATTACCCACAGTGTTCGTTACACTAACAGCCAGCAGATTCAATAAAAAACCTGACATCATCACTTACAGTCCTTGTGTGGCTTTGAATGAAGATTTAATTCCCCTGTGTTTTAAAGTCTCAATATTGCACAATCATAAATCCATATGATCTTTGGTTTGATTTTCAGCCCCTTAAGAACTGAGCTTTAGTTCTTACACAGTTTATTTCTCATCTGAGTTCTACACATGACATTCAGGTCAGGAAATCGTTAAACACATTTTCTGTCTTTCAAGAACTAAGATGTGAACCCAGTTCTTACAAACTGTAACTTTCCTCCTTGACCAAGGCTACTAAATGTTGTATGGATTGGGTGATTGATTAAGAATCCCGAGTATATGAATATTTGCAAGGCTACATATAAAGTCTTCTAGTCCCTTCAAAGAATAAATGGTGTGTTAACAACCTGAACTAACAAGAGAAGCCTTCTGATAGTACTCACTTGGTAGGATCTTTATCAGGGTTGTGCTGGGGATTTAAATGAGTTAATATATGAAAAGTACTGATACACATGAGTTAATATGGCACATGAGCACTTGGCACATACGAAGGACGCAGTAAACGTTAGCTATTACATAGCTCCTTGTCACCTTTGGCGCCAACAGACCTTTTCTTTCAATGGGTGCAAATAGGAAACCAGCACTCTCGTTGACCCGGTAGGTCTTCTTATCAAACTCTAATGTGGGTTCGTCCTCAGTGTCATTGATAATGACCTTCGCCTGGGTGAAGTTCCCTAGGAGGGCATATGCTGGCATGCTGAGCTCCACGGAGAAACTCTCCACGTTCTCGAACACATCATCATCGTTGATGACAATGGTGCAGGATTTGGTGTCCTCACGCTCATCAAACTGTACCTGTCACAAAGGAAACAATGAGGGGTTAAGCTGTGCCTGCTCTGCTCCCCCAGAACATTATGGGAAAAGAGGGCCCATGTCCAGTGAGCACTGAATGAAGCAGCGGGTTCTTCTAGCCCCAACTTCTGCTGTATCGCCGGGAACACTTGGCTACCTCTTCCCACTCTTCATCTGCAACTGGAATGATTCACTGTATAGGGACATGGAGGGCGAAGACATCCCCTGCCATCTGGTGACTGTAGTAAAACGTAGGTAACTATTCATATCCTGTTTTATTAACTCTCTTGGGATAGCAAGAGTCATTTGATTACTTATTCCCCCTTCTATTCGTGGTGAGTTTAACTGGAAAGATCTTTGAACTTGGAGTTTGAAGTTCTAGGCTGAAGTCTTGGTTTTGTCAGTTCCAAGCTGGGTCTGGCTTTGAAACTTGACAAACATCAGCTGGTTCCTCACCAGCCAAATAATAATAATAATAATACTATTTCACATACTTATTCGGAGGACTAAGGGAGACCATGTATAATGAAAGCGCTAAGTTATTTTAAAGCACTGAACAAATGCAAGATGTTATCCTGTTACCATCATCATATTATTGTCCAATCAAGACCGACACAAAATCTCAGCGTGCTGAACAACGCAGTTTGAATTCGGGAAAGGTTACCTTGCGACTAAGCCAGGCTGCATTTAACTTTATATTTGACTAGATCCTTTGCCAATAAAATCTAAAATGTGAATACATTTAGCCTGGTACAAAAGAGAAATTATTTTATATGTATATAATTGTGAACTCACAAGGCTATATTGTGGTTTTACTGTGTCTAAAAATAAAAGAGGGAGATAAAACCTTCAGATGGAAACAGGGCTATGGGTTTGTTCAAAATTGAGAGGGCAGGAAATGGGCCTGGAATGCACTTTGTGTGAACTGAGACAAGTGAAATATGTGTACAAATAGTCATAAACCTCTGAAAAACACGTAATTTTCATCAACAGAAAATGACTATTGCTATCTAATCAGCTAATCAAATTTTTACGAAGCTCCCCATTTCAAATCACTCCCAACTAAATGAAGCACTCCACAAATCTCTAACATCTAGAACACACTCCCTTTTATCTTTCTTTGTAAAATGGGAGGACAAGTCTCTTTTTATCATTTTGTTAAAAGACTTCTTAGCTTATCTCTTCTTTTCTAATCCCCCGTTTAAATTTGACGTAAGAAGCCTTAGCTTAGTCCAGCTGATAGGACTCAGAGAGAGCCCACTCCTCTTAATGATTTCTGTTGTTTCATGTTGCCACAAGAATAATGAAATTACTTTGAGAAAAACATTTAATAAATACCTAATAAGTGCCAGCCATTATGCCATACACAGAAGATGACAAATACAGGGCATTCTGCCATAAAGAAGTGCCGTCCCCTCCTTCCTCTTTTGCTTCCATTCTCTCCCCTCTCTCTCTCTCTCTCCTACCCTGGCACTAATCACCACCACTGTACAGAGAGATTACACATTTCTCTCTCTCCCCCAGGACACCTCTCTGTGCTCCCTACTAACGTACACAGCTGCCGACTGATGCCTCTAAGGCAACTCACACTCAACATGTTCAAAGCAAAGTCAAGATCACCCCCTCACCAAACCTGCTCCTCTCTGTGTCCCCTCCTAGCAACGGGCATCAGCACCCACTGTCCCTTCTGCCCCACTGTCTAATCCACTGCTAAGTCCTAGCAGTCGATGGCTTACTCATCTGTTGAATCCGTCCACGGCTCTCCACCTTCACTTTACAACTGCAGCTTACGCTCCCATCCTCTCTCACCCACCCCCTCCAAGAGCTTCTGACTGGTCTCCCCACACTCTCTCTCCCCTCCCTTCAGGTAGAGAAGGTAGAGAGAAAAAGTTAGCATTCCAAAGGCTGGGTGTAGAGCTGGATGCCTTGGGGACATTCTTTTGGTCATGAAGCAAAATGTAAACACTGAGAAGCTAGACAACCACTTAAGCTTTGGGAGTTAGAATGCCCGTGGTGTTTAGGCAGGCTGTGAAGAACAAAGTGCTGGGAACAGAACACAGGCAAATTACTCGAGGAACGATGCCAACGGAAAGGGAGGTGGGATAAAAAGAAGTGGGAAGGTGCCACAGTATCCCATGACCTGGCCACAGCCCTTGCAATTCAGCTCAGGAGTCAGAGGCCCCCTCCGCCACCTACCTGGCCAGCATACTCCACGTAGTCCTGCTGCCCAGGCTGGGAGCTGACCCTGGAGCTGGAGCTGGCAGTGCCTTGCTCCGTGTGACACAGGACGATGGCGTATTGGTTCAGGTTCCCAGTCCTCTGCACTGTGACGCTCACAGATCCCGCCTTCTCATTGACATTGTAGCTACAAAGACACAAAAAGGTAGTCTCTGAAATTGTGCCCCTGGGCTGTGAAGAATCTGCACGGTCAATGCTGGTCTCTCCCGGCTGGCTTGTGGTGGCAGGCATTTCAGAGAGGACGGAGTCTGATTGCTTTAAGAAGCTGGGCTGTAAGTTGAGGAAACATGTCCTCCTGGGACAGTCACAGCACCAAGTGACTGAGGAAGCCGTGGGTGCAGAATGGTACTTGCCTCGTTTTCAGAGAGAGTGGAAAGACACTCAAGGATGGGCAGGCAGCACAAAGGAGCTACGAGCTTCATGTTGCACACACGGAGAAGGACAAACACTCCTCCCTGGGGTGGTAGAGGCATGGGAGTGGGTCAGCGGGTTCTTAGGAAAAGGCTCTTGGAAAGCAGTGACTTAGCTCAGGCAGGGGCTGAGCACATCAGATCTCCGGGAGTGTGCAGGGCGCAGAGAGGAGTCAGGGCAGTGCCAGAGGTGAGCAAATGAGAACTGGGCCTAGGTAACAAAGGTGTTTAGATTAATGGGGCTTTATGACAATGGGGGAGTTGACCGGGTGCTATGGTCTTGAATGTTAGTGTCCCCCAAATTCATGCACTGAAACCCTAACCCCAATGTGATTATATTAGGAAGTGAGGCCTTTGGGAGGTGATCAGGTCCTAAGGGTAGAGCCCTCATAAATGGGATCAGGGCCCCTATAAAAGAGACCCCAGAGGGGGCTCTCATCCTTCTGTCAAATATGTTATAGTGAAAAGACAACAGAAAACCGGAAAGCAAGCTGTTAGCAGACACTGAGTCTGCTAGCACCCTGATCTTGGACTTCCCAGCCTCCAGAACTATGGGAAATAAATTCCTGTTGTTTATAAGCCACCCACTCTATGGTATTCTGTTATAGCAGCCCAAAGGGACTAAGACACAGAGCTAACTTAGTTTGGTGCTAGCAATCTGTATTGCTTTTGTAAAATAAGAGGCAATCTATCCATGTGCTATTAATTCACAATAAGTATTTAGTGGATGGCGCCTCAGCTGGGCTTTGTTTTCATCATTGAAGATGGGCATTTGCTGAAGCTGTGTCTTGTTGCTGTGAGGGTGGCAGGCATAGTGCCTCAGCGGGTTAGTCCCTGCTAGCTTTGGGGGTCCTCTATACTCTTTAGTCTGTTAAACACTAGTGGGGTTCCAGAATACATGATTAGTTTTATTCAGTTAATTTTAAAGCAGATTAAAAAGAGAGGTAAATAACAGCAAAACATTACACTTATAAAAGTTATTCTAATTTTCCACTAATTCTCCAGTGTGTGTAAGAGTGGACTAGCCTACATCTGGGGCATATGAAATCAACTTTGTTTGTACATTTTCCCTTTTCCTCTCCAAGTTCCAATTGTCATATGACTTACCATGAAATTGATTTCTTAGAATAGGGAGCTCTGAAATGTAGATTTAAAGAATTCTTCCCCCCCAAAAATTATAATCCTAGTTATAATTTAACCTATAAAATCAGCACTGTGCTTGCCCACCTTTATGAGTTGGTGCCTCTCTGTTTGCCTCTCAACTCCCCAACAGACTATGAAGGCACCTTAAGGAGCTTAGTGCAGGCTATGAATTTGTCCCTAAAGATGTATGATCCTGTGAACACCAAAGGAGCTAGAGGGAAAAGATGATCTTGAGAACACAGAAAATGTAGATGGAAGGCAAAGATGTTCTTGGGGCCACTGATGATTTGCAGACCTTGAAAGTGCATTTTCCCCTATCAGTTCTACTGGATTGTCTTCCGAAACTGGAAGACAAAAGCAAAAATACTTATAGGAGAGGCAGTAAAGCACATGGTTAAGGCCACTGGGCTCACATCCTGGTTTACTGCTCATTAGCTATGTGACTTTGGGCAAGTTACTTACCCTGTTTCTGCCTCGATTGCTTGGCTGTTGCAGGGGCAACAACAGTACTCATCTCACAATCACAAGGATCAAACAAGGTGATGTAGGTCAAGTACCTAGTTCAGTGCCTGGTACATACAGTATTTAAGAAATACTTGGTACAATTTTTATTTTTATTATTGTTATCACCACCACCATCATCAGATGAGCACAGCTGACCCACAGGGGGCTTCGTCCCGAATCCTCTACTTGCCTGACTCATTTCTCAGGAATGAGCACACAATGACACTTGTACCTGGTATGTTTAAAGCTGATGAGGGACCACTGGATATGGAAGACATTGTCTCTGACCACGTTGGGTTTGCCGTCTTTCACCAGAAACTGAAAACTATCCATCATCTCATGGATCTTCTCCTCATGTAGCACATAACAAATCAACCCCAAGTTCACATCCTCTGTGAGAAAAAAGACACAGTGAATTAACCGGGGGTTGTAAAAACAGCCTCATAGGTGCCCACGCTGACACACGCAGTCTATTCTTCTAATGGGTCATAGACAGAACTTGTGTTCCCAAGAACAAAAAGGGACAATAGTCTTAAAAATAATGTTTCTGCCAGATGTCAAAATAAGAGCCTGTAGCTCTGTGTGACAAAAGGTTGTCTTTATGTACAGGAAATACCCTATGCTGTTGTAAAATGAGACTTCCAGGATCTTAGCTAAAAATTACTTTAATAAATGCCTATGGAATGTTAGAAGCAAATCCTAGAGCTGACAGAGAGTCTTCTACCCCACCTTCTGTGGATATTTGATCAGATCCACACTACTTCTTTCTAAATAATGTTCCTTAGATGTTATGTGCTACTAATAAAAACTAAGGTTGGATTAAAACAGCCCCCACACAAAGCACAGGTAAAATGGGACAGGAGAGCACACAAGACTGAAGACAGTGAGAAAAAGGAAATACAGTGCATGAATTGTAACAGGCAGTTTCCCAGTGGCCGCTCCCAATCAGGTCCATCCTCAGAAGTCTAGAAGACTCCAAAAAACTTCAGAGGAACTTAAATACAAAATGGTCTGCTTCATGTGCTTCAAAGCAGGAAAACATTTCTATTGAGGAATCTACTCACATTGATTTTAATTTCTTTGCTGAAGACTTAAAAAAAAATCCATAACCCTTAGAGAACAAAAAATAAACCAAACCACACAGGATCATGGATCTCTCATATAGCCTGTTGGCCGTTTTTGTGTGTTTTTTTTTAAAGGAAACCAAGCAGTGTCAAGAGATCCTTTCCAGAAAACCTGGCCAAAACCTAAAGCAATTTGGGAGCTGAGGAAGCATGGTAAAGATGAATTTGGGGGTGGGGGGTGGGGCAGGCATAATTCAGAGTAACAGGAAATAAAAATCAGAGAAGTAAAATTCCAAAGTTGAATAGTTAGACACTAAAAGATGTGTTGGCAAATAGGTTACTTAGAGGTAAGAAGCTCGCTGTGATTGTGATAAGATCAGAGAGGTAGGGAGTGGTGTTAGAACAGATTCCTCCCGTTCCCCAGTTCCCCGCGGCCCCACCCTGCGTGAAAGTCGCAGCAGCTCTGCCGGGCTGCAGCTTGTTCTCCACGCGGCCGTGCCTGGGGCCCGTGGTGATCTCGTAGACGAGCTGCGGGTCCCCCGTGTCCGGGTCCATGGTCAGCAGTTCCTTCTTGGTGATCAAGTTGGTTGCCTGGAATAGAAGCCCATTACATTTAATTCCTGACATGGGACTAAGGCGAGAACAAGGCCCCGTGACTCAGATTTAATTCAGCTCAGCAATGACTGACTGAGGGCATGACTGCGTGGAGAGCTCCGTCGGTCCCGAGGAGGCTGCGGGGGAAGAAACCAGCCAGCCTCTGCCCTCGACATGTTCACGCTTTATTGGGAAGGGAAGGCTTAAGCAGGGTAGCTGTGGCAAGGGCTGCATCGGGAAACACACACAAGAGAGCTGCACACTTTGTGCGAGTGGGAGAGAGAATTCCATCCGAACTGGGAAGGAGGGATTTGAGACGGTGGAATTTGAACTTGGCCTTTCAAGAAGGTTGGAACCTTGAAAGTATGATAAAATACAGGAAAGACGGCCATTTGTACCTTCTAGGAGTCAAATGCAATGCTTGCAATTGAGTAAGATAAATATGATACCCCAGTTTTGCCCAAATATACTGCCTATATTTTAACTCACTCAACAAATTTTTAAGGAGAGCAAAGGTTTGAGAGGAAAAAAGGGGTGGCCAATAGTATTAAATGTTACTAGCTTTAGTAAAGGAAGGACACGTAAGTGGTCTTTGGACTTGGGGAAATAGAGGTCGCTGGTGACTTTGACAAGAGTCCCTGAGGTAGGGTAGGGGCGAAAAGTAGAAAACCAATTGAGGAATGTTGAGAAGAGAATGAGATAGTTCTGAATATGAGAAAATAAAATAGGGCAAAAGGAATCTGTACTAATTTTGTTTGATATATTTAAAAAATTCCGATCAGTTTAGTGGAACGCTCTAGCACAACAGCTACACATACAGGCTCAGCGTTTTATTGTGCTTCACAGATGTTGTGTGTTCTAAAAATTGAACGCAAGACCCTCCTCCATCAACAAAAAAGATTATGACTCTCTTTACTGTGACACTCGCTTTATTGCAGTAGTCAGGAACCGAACCCGCAACATCTCTGAGGTGTGCCTGTACAACCAACTAATCAGCTTCGTGGAGATGAGAAAATCCACCTCTTACAGGGAAAACCACACACAAAAGAAAGAAACCAGCTCCCAAACTGGACTGAAGAACTGCGTGTGTTTGGGTGGCGATAGGGGTTTGATGCTATTTAATGTTATCAGGTGAGAATTATGGCATGTCTTAAAATGACCAAATTGGGCTTTAGGAGAGGGAGAGAGAAATGTTTAAAGTACTCCTCTGAGGACACTCCCATGCAAAAATACTTCCCTTCCATTAATGGCATATTCCAGATATTTCTAAAATCCATCCTTTCCTTCTTCTAGTTAACAAACTTTCAGCTGAGCACCTAGCTGCCCAGCTAGAGACTCTGTTTCCAGATCCCATGCAACAGGATGGGCCCATATGACTAATTTCTTGCTAAAATAATATGAGTCAAGAGATGCGTTTAATTTCTGGATCACTTGCTTAAAATACATCCCTTGCACTCTACTGTTCTGTTTTCTTCTTCCCATGGGCCGGAATACTGATGACTAGCTGGAGGGATTTAGGTAACTACGGTCAACAGCGACAAGCCAGCGACGGCAGAAGAGTGAAAAGAAGGAATCTGCACCTCTGAGCCACCACGCGGGCCCTAGACGCCCTCCCTAGATGCGAGGGAAAAAATAACTGCCATTTTGTTTGATCCACTCTACTTTGGGGGTCACTGTACAAGAACATGTTCAGCTATACGCCGTCCGAGTGAAACTCGTGAAGCTCCCCAGCCGTGGGAACATCAGCCGGCTCAGGGAGGAACAGACGTGCCTGAGCCGGGGCGCCAGTCACGAAGGGTCACGGAAAGGCTCTGCCCGAGCCGCTTCGCGCGGACGCGGCCGACGGAGGGCCTTACCTTGCCATCCACACGCTCCAGCCACTGCAGCCCCAGGTTGGTAACAATTCTAGGGGTGCTGTCATCTACCGGGAGGATGTCCACTCGGAACTGCTGAGGTGCTGCTGTCACAATCTGGGGGGGGAAGCCAAAAAACTCATCATTCACAGACACTGAACCGTGTCAGGTCCAGACGCCCTGAGAGCAGCTGACACCTCACAGTGGGCAGCTGAGCCAGCTTCCGCCACTTAGGACCACTTGGCATGAGGCTTTCGGGGGGACCACTGACTGAAAAAGGGAGCGCATGAGAGGGCAAGGGCGGGACAAGTGGCCCGGCTGGGCTTTCACCTGCTGCGGGAGTTGAGGACGCACCTCTGCGCTCTTTAGTGAGGTCAGTGTCACCCTGAGGTGAAACAATAAACAAAACGTTTGCCTTTCAATAACTCTTGTTAAAATTTTCCCGAGAGGCAGAGGGAAACCGTCATTAAAATGTTATGTTGTCGAAGTCTCCAGGTGGAACGCTGCCGGATGGAAAAAGAGGTGTCATGGGAAGAGGCCGTTTTGTTTCTTTGAGAGAGAAAACTGTTCATATGGGGAAAAGAGGCAGAAGAAATTAAGAATAAAATATTTATGGAAATAGTGAAAAGAAATTTTGGTTTCTACTTTCATTCTCACACAGACAGATCCACACACATCCACACAACACACGTGCGGTGGGTGCAACCCAGCCCCTCACTGTTCCCGGGGCTCAGGCAGCGGACCCGCAGGGCAGCAGACGCTGGCTTTCCAACCTCCAAAGTAATTTCCATTTTTAAAATAACACAGTCCCTCTGGAGACCTGCTGTGACCTTTTGCATTTACCAGAGAGGTAGCCCTCTTGCTGATTTATCCTGAAATCTTTTTTCTCTTCTGAAAGTCACACCAACTGGGGAGCGGCTACAATGTGGGAGAGAGAAAATAAAAGTGAGGAGCTTCCCAGGGGTGATGCTGTGCAAACACCGAAATGGCAGGGAAGTCCCGAGAGCTATCCCAGCGACCCTGCCGCCCGCTGCGAACGACCTTCCCACAGGCTGGCTGTCTCCAGGGACGCAGGCAGCTCTTTCTTCCACAAAGGAATCATTCCCGTTCATCGTGAAGGTGTGAAGGGCACTGTGCAGGCCAGAGGGCCTGACCCTTCCTAGCCCTGGCAGTATGGTAGGTGTGGCCCTGTGGCTCACTAAACGGCTTCTGCGGAGTCACAAACAGATGCCTGCGATGCAGGAGTGTCCGCGCCTACCTCTGACCAGAGTTGCAGCCATTCCCAGGAGGGTGTGGGGCTGCAGGAGACCTGGCTAGGGGATGAAGGAATGAGTGAAAATAGCAGGGAAGGGAGTGGAGGGGCTGTTTTAATGTTTCTTCCAGGCGCCTGGATATTAGAAGGTAACAGTTCTCTTAAGGAAGTAAAGCTTGATGGCAGCATGACCTCAAGACAAAAGAGTCTTTAGCTGTTGGTCCTAGAATGAGGACGCTGATGATGACTGCAGCCACAGCTGATTGGATGTTCCTGTGCACGGGACTGGGCTAAGTGCCTTATGTGCATCACGAAGGGACGTATCATCCCCATTTTACAGACAGGGAAGCTGAGGCTTAGCAAGGTTAAATGACTTACAAAGTCACTCAGCCAGTAAGTGACAGAGCTGGAATTTAAATTTGTGTCTTTTTTTTTCATAGCTAATATATGTATATATATTTTAAATTTATTTTTATTGATGAAAGTATTACAAATGTCCCCCTTTTCCCCCCATTGATCTAGTCCATCCTGCATCCCTGTCCCCAGGCCTTCGCCACAGTTGTCAGTGTCCACTGGATATGTATATATGCGTATAAGTTCTTATGTTGATCTCTCCACACCTACCCACCCACCCCTACTTTCCCTCTGAGATCCCTCAGTCTGTTCCCTGCTTCTATGTCTTTGGATCTATTTTGTTCACCAGTTCATTTTGTTCATTAAATTCCACATGTGAGTAAGATTATGTGACACTTGTCTTTCTCTGACTGGCTTATTTCGCGTAGCATAATAATCTGTAGGTCCCACCATGCTGTCTCATAGGGTAAGGGATCCTTCTTTTTCACAGCTGCATAGTATGACTTTACTGGATAGATCTTCCAGACAAAAAATCAACAAGGAAACAGGGACCCTAATTGACACACTAGATCAGATGGATTTCATTGACATTTACAGAACATTCCACTCCAAAGCTGCAGAATAGGCATTCTCCTCAAGTGCACGTGGGACATTCTCAAAGACAGACCACATGTTAGGACCAAAACAAGTCTCTACAAGTTCAAGAAGACTGAAATCAAGCATCTTCTCGGATATTTACACCATGGAATACTCTACAGCTGTAAATCAATGTTTTTTTGGATGCAAAAGTCACACTCTTAACCACTGTTATTCTTCATGAGACTGAGAAACTTTGGCTGACTGAGGGGACATATAAAAGAGAAAGACAATCTAGAACCGTATATTACTGAAAAAACAGATGAAAGAAAAATGAAAGGAGTAAGGGTGGATAGAAGGAAAGGAGAAATAATAGCAGAATAATAACAATAACTATCAACTTCTATGGAAAGTGCTCATGATTTGCCAACAGTGCTAAGTACTTTATGTGGATTACCTCTCTGATCCCTAGTCTAATTGAAGCTGGTGATTATTATACCCATTTTACAGATGAAAAGCAGAGGCTTAGCCCTAGCCGGATTGGCTCAGTGGTTAGAGCATTGGCCTGCAGACTGAAGGGTCTCTGGTTCCATTCCAGTCAAGGGCATGCACCTCGGTTGGGGCTCGATCCCCACCCCGGCTGGGGCAAGTGCAGGAGGCAACCAATCCATATGTTTCTCTCATAGGCAAACAATCGATATATCTCTCTCACATCGCTGTTTCTCTCTCTCTCCCTTCCACTCTCTCTGAAAAGCAATGGAAAAAATATCCTTGGGTAAGGATTTAAAAAAAGAAAGAAAGAAAAGCCGAGGCTTAGAGAAGTTGAGTAATTTGTCTAAGGCCAATTGGTGACAGATCAAAAACTCAAACAAGGCCATCCGTGGCGTTAACATGCCACGGTTTCCTCTGGACAGCCTCTGGCCTGCTTTGCCATGGCCTCCCCACTGTTCCGCCTCACCTCTTCCCCTCCTTCCTCAATAATAAAGAAGGGGTTGGTCCCATCAGCAACAGTGAAGGTGAACCGGTCCCAGAGGGAGTCGCTGCCATCGTGGCTGTAGCTGAGCCGGCTCTGGGAGATGTCCTCCATGGTGAAGGTGGAGGTGTGCTGGAAATGCCGCCCGTCGGTGGTCCGCTCGATGCTGCCATGGCGCGGGGGCTGCACGATGGTGAACGTGATCGACTCGGCCTGTTGAGGGGCAAAAAGCAAGGGGAGAGGGGGACTTCTTGAGAGAAACCAGGTGTGTCAGTGACGGCCAACAGGTGGGCAAGTGCAGCCAACCCTAAAGACATACATAAAATAAGACTGCATTTTCTTTATGGATATCAGAAATAAAGCTAAGGAGAGAAATTACATTGATTGCTGTACTTGAACTTATATACTGGTGTCTTCAGTTGTAAGACTAAGACATTTCAATTTGTTCTTTGGGGGTCAGAGGGGAAAACCTGAATCTTTGACCTCTCTCAAGATGATAGGAGCTAGGCCTTTTAAAATTATTCATTTCCTTTCCATCCCCCCACCCCCCCATTTCCCAAAACTCTTATATACAGAATCCCATATGCATCAGAATAGAAGTTTATTTCCCCTTTCTAATTGCTGCTTTTGGGTGACACATAGAAGCAAAAATAAAGAGGTAGAAAACTCCACTCAAGACTTTCCAATGATTTCCCACCAACTTAGAATAAAATGAAAAGGCCTGATCTGGCCAGGCCCTTTGTGACCTGGTCCCAGGACTCCTCTCTGGGCCCACGCTTCTCCTCTCCTGCTTGTTCATGAGGTTCCAGCCTCTTGGCCTCTTGCTGTAACTCAAAAGTTCTAAGCACACTTGACCACAGGGGCTTTGCACTTCTGGTTCTGCTGCCCAGGGAGTGATGCTCCCAGATGACTGTATAGCTTGCTCTTCTACTTCATATCTCTGCTCCTCAGAGAAGCTTTCCCTGTCCATTCTGTCTAAAACAGCGCAATCTCTGTCTCCTTTAGCTTGCTTTAGTTTTATTATAGCACTTACAATATCTGACATGGTATTGTATGTTCTTTCTTTATTGTCTGTCTTCCTAACCAAAGGTTGAAAACTCCCTAAGGCTGGAACTTTATGTGTTTTGTTCACAGCTCTGTCCTTTGCATCTAGAGCAGAGCCTGGTGCTGTAGGTAATCAGTATTTGCTGAAAGAGTAAACAGATGAATGAATGAGCGCTGGTACAGGGTAGAGTGCACACAGAACTAAATAATAAATGCTGTGGTACTCTTATGGGAGCTAAATCATGCCGGAAGCTTACACGCTTTTATCTGAAAGCATCACGAGAATGAGAGTTCTGTCTCTACAGGCTGTTTCACTGTACAAAGCCTAGTTCTCTGAGGATGCTTAAATTGTAATAATTAGTTGTCATCCAGCAAAGTCTGAATGACGGAGGTTACAAAGAAGGGGAAGATGTACGGGTGCCGAAAATCCTTGTTCATGCCAATAAGGGATAATACAACTATCGTGTAGAACATCGCCTACCTAATTTCCTATAAATCCTGATAAAAATTCAGCATGTTAAGGGGATTGTTACATGTAATCGGGGGAGAGGTGAATGTGTGCAGGGTTTCAGAAAGGGTCTAAAAGCAGTGTGAATGCAGGTGCATTTGTTTTCTCTTTTCCAGAGGGCTGTGTGGTCTCTTCTGGTTTTCAGTCCTTCAGGGACACGCGCACTAGCCTCATACTCAGCCCTCAGGACGCACAGTGGCAAAGTGACCACTGGCGCCAGGTCGCCTCTCGGAGCCGGAGCCCAGGGAGCGCGCTCACCTCGGTGCCCGCAGCCACTGCCTTGAGCTCGGATTCCGTGATGGTCTTCCTCACGCCCTCCTGCACCCGCATCCCCAGGCTCTGCACCACGGGCAGCGCGTCAGCCGCAGGCCGGATGGTGATGTGGAAAGTCTCAGTCGCCTGGCAGGGCAGGAAGGGGCAGGTTGGAGGGACCCCGGTCCCCAGCCGCACCCAAGGCAGGTGCTCTCTGCTGTCCCTTTCAGAGCTTTCCTCACATGACCAGCCAGGGACCAGGAGCCCAGCAGGGAGTTCTGGGCAAGGGCCCCGGGGACTGGCAGGCGGGCCCTGCCCTTGGCTGGCAGCGCAGGGAAGGGGCGCTCTGAGCGCGCCAGCCCCCTGGGGGTGCCCTGCGACTCACCCACTCCGGGGAGGGGGACCCGGGCTCGCCCACCTCATTGGCTCCGTCGGACAGCGCGAAGCTGAAGGCATCCGAGCGCCGGCGGGACGCGCTGGAGTGCACGTACTGGATGCTCCCGGAGGCCAGGTCGGCCTGCGTGAAGGAGGCCACCTGGAGACCTGGCGAAGGGGACAGGGCCAGGGAGGGGTGAACACGCAGGCCTGCTTCCCCGCCCCCCG